CACGGGGGATAAGTTTTTTTTTTTTTGTTTTTTTTTTGGTTTTTCGAGACAGGGTTTCTCTGCGTAGTTTTGCGCCTTTCCTGGAGCTCACTTGGTAGCCCAGGCTGGCCTCGAACTCACAGCGATCCGCCTAAGAGCAAAGTTTTATTGGTAAGCAGTATAGACCTAAAAGGTCACACCTCCTAATAGTGCCACACTCCCTTTGGGGGCCATTTTCTTTCAAGCCACCCCAGCTAAGAAGTTCCAGGTTTAACCACCCTGTTGAAGATGGATTCAGCATTTGGCCAGGTTTTGTTTTGTTTCCTTATGCTGGGATTAAATACCCCAACAAAAACAAAGGAGAAAGGCATTTCTTTTTTCTGGTTAGAGTTTTAGAGTCCATCATGGGGAAGGGAAGACATGGCAGCAGGTAGGGAAGGCATGGGGTCAGGAGTGGCAATCTGGTTGATCACATTGCATCCAAGGCCACGAAGCAGAGCCAGACCAGCAAGTGGGGCCATACTAAATAATGGTTTAAGTGGGGGGAATGTAGGGTAGAAGAGGGAGTTGAGGGGAAGACAACAACTAAGGATGTTTGAGAAAGCCATTTGCAAGTATTGCTTCCTAAATATACAAGCGTGTATATATATAAGTTTAATTGGAGCTACCCTATACAGGTTGACAAGTCCCATGCCACGTATAGGTATGCCTCCTCTTGAGTTGGTCAGAGGTGTGCCAGAGATGGCCCCCTGCACCTTTCCAATAAAGACACAGGCTATTGTTCTTGGTTGCCCATCAGAACCCAATGGTAAGGCCCCATTGCTGAAGACGCCACATTCTGTGGTAGCAGGATGTGGGGAAATCAAGTTTGTATTGACCAGAAAGCTTTTCCCCTGCTGGCCAGCTTCGCAGTGCCAGAAGGAGTAATATAGGCTTGCGGGGGGGGGGGGAACTCAACAGTTTCCTGAACTATGAACTGTGGGAACCACACTAGTGACCAGTGTGCCAAGATAATGGCCATGGGTGCAGTAGTGACAGATGTTACAGGGGTAGTCACCTGCTTTCTGACTTGAGTTAAGACCCAGTCCATTGGAGGAAATGGACCTGGTTCTGTAAACCTGGACAAGCACTAATGACTAGGAAGTTCCTAGGCCCCAGAAATAGATGTATCACTGCTATTTTGCTAAAGGGTCACAGTAGCTAAGTACTCTCTAAATTTGCTTTTCCATACCCATAAATTAGTGCAGCTCTGTCCCCATCAGAGAAGTTTCTTTGTATAGTGGACTTTGATAAATGCAGAAACTCAAAATTGATCAATTCAGAGAGTGTCTGTGGGATGCTTAGCCATAAATGGGACATCCATGTAACAACTCTCTTCCCCCAAGGCTCAGGGATCATCTTGGAAGAGGAGGCAGGTTGTAAAAGCTAGAGGTTAGGGAATACCACTGTGAAACCTCCTTGTGGTCTGGACAGGACCATTGCACTCAGGGACTCAGCAGCTGTGGTTGCCTGCACAAGATGGAGCCAGGCAGCATCCCAGGACAGAATGAGGGAGGGGCTCATTAGCTTTCATCCAGTCTGCTACCTAGCTCCCAAATAAATCACACACGGGGCTTATTCTTAATTATGAATGCCTGGCCTTAGCTTGGCTTGTTTCTTGTCAGCTTTTCTTAACTTTAAATTATCCCATCTACCTTTTGCCTCTGGGCTTTTCCTGTTCTCTTACTTCGTAAATCGGTAGCTTGCTGTGTAGCTGGGTGGCTGGCCCCTGGAGTCCTCCTCCTTTTCTGGATACTTCTTTTCTCTTCTCCCAGATTTCTCTTATTTATTCTCTCTGCCTGCCAGTCCTGCCTATCCTTTCTCCTGCCTTGCTATTGGCTGTTCAGTTCTTTAGTAGACCATCAGGTGTTTTAGATAGGCACAGTAACACAGCTTCACAGAGTTAAACAAATGCAACATAAACAAAAGTAACACATCTTAATATTCTACAACAGTTTTCTTTAAGAGTATAACTTCTGATAAGTCGACCATGCTCCCATGGATGGCTTGACACCTGCAAGTAATCAGGTCAGCACAAACTGGACTGGGTGGGTTACAAAACACATGAAGACATGAAGTTAGGAGTAGGGTAGCTCTGGGAGGAGTTGGGGTGATGTGATATATACATACAAGTATGAAATAATAAAAACATTAAAAATGAAAAACCTCGCCGGGTGGTGGTGGCGCACGCCTTTAATCCCAGCACT